GCCGAGCCAGCCAAAGATGGCGCCCTGGCTGGCTGCCAAACCTCGTGCTGTTTACTTCAACTCTTGGCTGATTGCCAAGGCTCGTGAATCCCGCTTGTTTACCCCAACTCTGAAGTATGGTGAGCCCAAAAACAGGTGCTGCCAGCCTGATGATCTTGCTACGTGGCCAATGAGCTGCACTCTGCCTGCCCGCTGCACGTGTGTGTGCCCTGATTGGTCCTGGCTAGAGGGAGGGCTGTTGGAAACGCTATATGAACAGCTGAGGTGTGTAATAGAGGAGAATAGAAAAGAACAGAACAGCAACAACGAGACAGCATCACAGTGAGAGAGAATGAGGTAAGAGAGGATGAAGTGAGAGAGGATGAAGTGAGAGAGGATGAAGTGAGAGAGGATGAAGTGAGAGATATAGGAGAACTACAAACGAAGCAGCATCATAGTGGGTGAGATAGTGAAGAGAATATGAGAATAAGAGAATAAAGGAAGAAAGAGAAACAGAAGCTTGAACCTCACCTTGGTGTCTGTGTCGTCTTTCCTGGACTCTGCTGGACAGAGTCCTGGCTCGCGACATATCTATCAATCTATCTCTATCATCTATCTATCTATCATCTATCAATTATCAATTATCTATCATCATCATCATCTATCTATCCTCTATCTTCTATCATTTATCCATCTATCTTTTATCATCTGTCTACTATCATCTCCATTTGCTTCTTTTAGAGAAATTTCAGCTTTGTTTCATCAGCTTCTGGTCTATCAATCTATCTCTATCATCTATCTATCTATCATCTATCAATTATCAATTATCTATCATCATCATCATCTATCTATCCTCTATCTTCTATCATTTATCCATCTATCTTTTATCATCTGTCTACTATCATCTCCATTTGCTTCTTTTAGAGAAATTTCAGCTTTGTTTCATCAGCTTCTGGTGCTCTATGTATTAGTGTCTACTTTTTGTGCCCCTCTATAACTGAGTCTGAAGTCTGGCTAACTTGCCTTAATTCCTGCTGTTGGTAAATCCAAAGTAAGGGAAAACCAGTGTGTGGCAAAGCAAGAGGGCTCCATTGTGGTATGTCAGTATTATCTGTTGTTCGACACTAAATTCTGTGGATGAATTATACACTGTATACAACAATTTCATTAGCAATAGCCTGGGAGTTTTGAATGAAGTTGCATTAGATTTACAGATATTTTAGCCATCGACTAAAGTTTTAATTAAGAAAATTTAGGTTTAGGAACCTTGCTTATGTTTATTCAGATGGTCGTCTAGATTCCATAGTTTTCTCTGTACACTTTTCCAGGCTCTTGTTCCCAGGTCTTACACTGTTTTTGTTGCTTTCGTGAGTGGTCATGGGTTGGATGTGATGGTGCACACCATTAATCCCAGCACTCTGGAGGCAGAGGCAGGTGGATCTCTGTGATCTTGATGCCAGCCTGGTCTACAAATCAAGTTCCAGATCATCCAGGGCTAAATAGTCAAAACAAATTTTAAAAAATTGGTCGTTACTGGTATATATAATGAAGCAATTGATCTTCATTTTATGCATATAACAGCAGACCTATCTTTTCCCCTCAATTCCAGGCTGGGCACTGTCTGTCAATAACAGGGGTAATTATGCTTTTACTGGTCTAGTTCCCACTTTTAATGGTAACATGACTCAGGGCTTCCTTTGAATAGATGCCTAGTGTACAGTTCAGGTAAATCATCTTTGTAAAAGTTATTTCATTTAAAATATTTCATTTATTATTGTGTGTGGAGGGGTTATGAGTGGGTGGATGAATGAGTCACAGCATGCATTTGGGAATTAGAGGACAACTTTTGTGGAGATACTGCTCTTCTTTTACTTGTACATGGGTTTTTGGGAATCAAACTCATGTCCCCAGGCTTGCTTGTGGCACGCACCTTTACCCTCTGAGCCATCTTTCTGGCCCAAGTTGTTTTATTGATTAGTCATTTAAAAAGAATCAAGAACAGGTGTCTATTTCATTGAAACCTTTTATCAAAATAATGAAATTCCGTTCTATTTTAATCTATGAAGAGCTTTAAGTCGTGAACACATGCTGAATTTTATTATTTTCTGCAGCAACTGCAATGACTATGTAGCTTTACTGTTTCATCCTTCACATACTGAGAGTTGCATCAGTAATATTTCTAGTTTTAAAACTGCTATAGGAATTCTTGCATAAATTCTACTTGATTACACTGTAAGTTTCTGATATAATGACTAAATTTGGCTTTTTAGTGTCCTTAGAATTTTTGCATTTGCAATCATAGTAGGTAGGCTGCGTTCGCTTCCTCGTGCTGCTGTTTGTGTCATTAGGAAGAGTATATTAGCCATTTGCTTCTTATGTCTTTACACCAAGCAAATGCTTACCAGACAGGGACAATACAGTCTTTATAGAGCTGACAGGTGGAAGTATGCTCCTCCATTCTGCGCCCCGCCCTCCTCCTTGCCTACCACTCCATCTCCGTTCTTCCTCCCTATCGATTTGCTCATCTGTTCTTTTCCCCAGACCATTTTCTACAGATATAATGGTCTTCACATTTAAATGTGAGATCATTTATATAATTCTCTTATGGGACTCTAAAAATTCTTAAGTAAAGGGTTAGAGACATGATTCAGCAGGTAAGAGTACTTGTTGCATGAGGACCTGTGTTTGGATCCCAAAATCCATGTCCTGGTGTGACCTCGTATGCTTGTGATCCTCGCTGGGTGGGGATGGGTTTTATAGACAGGGTTTCTGAGGCTTGCTGTCCAGGCAGCCTAGTCACAAAACTGTGAGTTCCAGATTCAGGCTGTTGCAGGGAAATAAAGCAGAGAGTGATAGAGAAGGCCACATGCCTTCCTCATGCCTCCAAATATCTGCATGGGTATGAGCACCCACACATACATATGGACTCATGCATGTACACACACACACACACACACAATTATTGCTAAAGTTCAGTTTCCCTAATATACTTAGATATTTTAAAGGAAACAGTGACAGTAAATTCCATCTCCTTTTCTTGGTGCCACAGTGACCCTTAAGGTCACAGTTGTTTATTGTGTCATGACTTGGAGGAAGCCAGGATTCCTGAGTCACTAATGAAAACTCCCAGATTTTGACTGAAAACAAATATATTTTTACTATGTAAGGCCACACAAATTTCAGAGTTTATTACTGTTACACAGCCTTTTAACCCAAGTTGACTATGTAGTGGTGTGCTA